AAAGAAAGAAAAAAACGTTAAAATTAATGCAGGGAGGAGATGAAGTGCACACCGCACTAATGAACAATAATAAAATGTATCCCTACTCCTCTTTACTGCACAGACATTGAAGACAAGAAACTCAGTAGAGGGGCAAAATATCGAACAGCATTTTGGCTGATGTTACACGCAAGCGAAAAAGACTTTACGTCTAAAACTAGCTAAGCACATTTATTACATTTTATATTACTCCCTTGGCGTCCAGGTTAAGAAGAGCAACTGTCCTTAGTTTCCGGTGCCCCCTGGCAGGTGTCCTCCATCTGTTTTCCCTCTCAACTTTTTCGTTCTTTTGGGCAACTCCTCCCCTTTCCTGACCAACTGGAGAAATTCCCCACGGCGAGCGCAATTCGCCGCCATCTTTAAAGCCTCGTTTCCGCTATTGCTTTCTCTCGCACTTCCGGTTAATTGCAGGGAGAAATCGGTTGATTGGCATGGCGGTTCGCGTTTAGTGGGACAATATTCTCTTCTGTGGAATTGGCATTCTGACGTGGCGAAATCGTTGTAGTAAAGTGGTAGTTCTTTTGATTTGAATGAAGGACTTGGCACCAGTCTTCGTGTAAGTCCCCTGCGAACAAAAAGGCGAGAACTTTTGCCTGTATTTTCTTCTTGTTTCGTAAAAAAAAATGGTTAAGTATCGCACTATTCTTAAACAGTTTTTAAAAATCATGTCAGCATCCGACAATCTGTCCAGAGTTAAACAAAAACAAAAACAAAAAACACGCGTAATGAAGTTTTACTACATTATAACATATTTCACGCACCTATCCTTAAATTTTGCAAAACAGTTTACTAAATCGGGGTCGCCATCAGCTTTCTCATTGCGTTCTCCATAATCTCGTTCACAAGCTGAAATCGCCCCTTCAACTAGATGTCGCAGAGAACTAAATCTAGACTGTAGGAGATGGCTGACAGAACTTCGTGCCAAAACCCCATGACAGAGACTTTGCTGATTCACACTTTCGGCCATTTTGAATGAGATGGTCACACAGTACATAAGTTTACTCAATGGCATCGCACTGCCGACTATGTAAATGGGAGGGTGTTTGTTTACGCAGGTGTAGTAAGATCTTCACTGATTGGTTATCAAAATACATACATGCCCAACCGCCCCCCCCGAGTTATCCAAAATGGCTGGTTATTTTCGGAATAGGCCCCGTAAATTAGATTATGTTATGGCGTGGTTAGTTCAATGAAATATCAACCTTGGTTGGGTTATTTAATGTTTTATAGGGCAAAAACAAGAAATAAAAAGATCGGTCAAATTGCGACTAAAGTCACAACGGTAGACATCTACATGGTTTAAACAATAATAAAAAAAAAAAAGAAGTCTGGTTTATATTAAGTATGGACACCTGGCTGAGTGGTGATTATGAGACCCAGGTCCGAAACTCACCATGATCGATTTGTCAGGAAGGGGCATTCTTGATGATACTGGCCTGTGGAGACGATCCCAAGCCTAGTGAGTCAAATTGGATAAACGGAACTTTTTGGAAGCCGTCAATGGTTCGGCACAAAGTCACAAATTATCGTGACTGAGGATCAGATTTTATTCGTGTTATTCAAAGTACTGAGCAGGACATATTATGCGCTCTATCCCAGAAACATAGTTATAGTATAAATGATAGGTGGGGTCTGTGGGTGTTCAACAAACACAAATGTGCCTGAGCAGGCGTCTGCTACAGGGATTAGCTAGCCACCCTAATAGACAAGCATATTCGGATTCATACTGGATTTATTAGAAGCGAAGGTAAACAGCTAATTTGACATACCTTTGATCCTCAAAGTAAACCTCATCGGCATCCAAAACATTTTGCCAACATACCTCCAGCTGCGCAATGCCGCGGCGCTCTAAAACAGGCGCCTTGGGCACGAAGAAATCTGTAAGTGCCTGTCTCAATCTTCTTCATTTGCGAAGGATTTCCCAGGAAGGTGGGGCTGCCCAGAGAATGGAAGAGGTGGTAAATCTGTTGAATCAAGGTCCAGGGAGTAAGGTGAATGAGACAGTATCTCCCAGCCAAGTCGCCGTATGGTATCTGGGGCTACCCGCGCCACATGAGGCCTGGCATTGTCTTGGAGGAACAGTACGCCTTTGCGATTGATCAATGCTGGTTCCTTCTGCTTCAGTGACCGTTGCACATGTTCCAGTGAGTGCAGGTCCGCAGTGATGCATTGGACCGTTGATAGCAGCTCATAGTGTGCACCAATGTCGACTCGTCCACCAGATAGAGAGCATGATTTTACGTGGATGCAGAGGTGGTCTTGTAGTGTGGGGCACAAGGTCCCGTGATGACAACCAATGTCTGGCACGCTTGGGCGTTTCATACAGGATCCACTTTTCATCACTGGTAAGCGCTCAATCAAATATGGGTACGGTGTTGTGTCGAGAAAGCAACGAGAAACACGGTGTCACTCGTTGTGGCTTGTTAGCTTCCAACTGTGTGTGGGGTAGTCACTTGCTTAACTTGTACGCCTTCTCTATGAGGTGCAAGTGAAGTTTGACTTTTGCATCAAAAACCTGGAAGCGTTCGGCAAGTTAACCACAAGTTTGGCTGTTGTCCTCCTATATGGCCGCCTTCAGGTCCTCACCATCCAGGGCCTGTGGTCGGTTCATCGCAAAGGAACAGATCTCCCGACCTGAATTTCTGGAACCAATGTCTGGCCGGTAAGTTCACTCACAGCATTATCCCCAAAGGTTTGACGTATTCGGCGACTTGATGCAGCTGCAGATAATTCCAACTTAAAGTTGTAAAGCAAACAAACTCCGAATGAAGTGTCTCGATAAAGCCATGTTTCCTCGCTGCTAATCGAGCAAAGGCAGATGTACGTGTGCAGTGCACCTGCATTGGTCAAGAGCAGTTCCCCCGAGTGACGCTCTCAGAGATCACTTCTTCATACACTATGTAAAAAACGACAAGGACATATTGGGTTAACTTATATAAACTGAGCTTATAGTGACCTTTAAAACTGGAGCCAAAAAGCTAGGCACAGGTACGGTTTACAAAAAAAAAAAAAAAAACGAGTCAAAATCTGGTTTACAAATCGTGTCAACAAGGTAGGCAAAGGTCCCGTTTAGAAGAACGATTCAAAAAGATAGACATGGGTCCGATTTACAAAATCTAGTTAAAAAGTCAGGCATAGGTCCGGTTTGCACTACATTCAAAAAGATAGACATAGGTGTGAGTTAAAAATGATTAAAAATGATAGGCATTGGTCCGGTTTACAAAAACGAGCCAAAAAGTTAGACATAGGTTTGGTTTGCACTACATTCAAAAAGATAGATATAGGCCCGGTTTACAAAAATGAGTCGAAAAGGTTGGCAAAAGTCTGGTTTACAAAAAAGATTCAAAAAGGCAGGCATAGGTCTGATTTACAAAAATGAATCAGAAATGTAGGCCCGGTTTACAAAAATGAGTCGAAAAGGTTGGCAAAATCTGGTTTACAAAAAAGATTCAAAAAGGCAGGCATAGGTCTGATTTACAAAAATGAATCAGAAATGTAGGCCCGGTTTACAAAAATGAGTCGAAAAGCTAGGCAAAGGTCCGGTTTACACTAGATTCAAAAAAGTAAACAGAGGTCCGGCTTACAAAAACGTACCAAACTTGTAGACATAGTTCCCATTTACAAAAACAAGTAAAAAAAGGAATACATAGGTCCGATTTACAAAAACATGACAAAAAGGTAGACATTGGTCCGGTTTACACTAGATACAGAAAGTTAGGCATAGGTCCAGTTTACAAAAACGAGTCAAAAAAAGACTGGCATAGATTCGGTTTACACTTGATTCAAAAAGGTTCTAAATTGGTCCTGTGTGCAAAAAAAAGAATCAAGACGGTAGAAATTAGGTGTGTTTATAATCGTGTCGACAAGTGTCCACCCGGAAAGTAGCCCGTTCTGGTTATTGGTTTTGTTCTGCAAGTAATGGTGTCAGCTTATTCTAAGCCGTGTCGACAAGACATTCTGGTAAAAAAAAAAAAAAATCCTTAATAAAATATAAGTGTCAATAAAAGTAAGACATTTGATAACTAACATCAGAAACAAAAAAAGAGAATGCCCATCACGACAATTCAAAGTTCAGGGTCTGTTTGGCTCATTACAATTTTGGCATCTCTTGAAATGATTTTACAAGGTTTTGTGACTTCTTATCTTGCGAGTGACAATAGCAAAGAACCAATTACAATTTTAACCAGGCCCAAAATAGTATCAATATCATAATTGTAAAATGGGTTCGTTGATTTGTTTTCATGTGTGTTTATAATCGATATTTTTACGGCTTATCAACTTTTTGCAGGTTATTTAAAGTCAGAATATATTTTTAGTTTGTAAAAATCTTTGGTGAGATAATGACTATTTACTGATACAAGTTCTACTAATTTACCCATAGCTGAAGGAGAAGAGGTGGATTTTTATGGTTTAATAGTCAAATGTAATTTGTCATTAAAGTTCATTTCTCGGAGTCTAAAGACTATAGACACACTCGCTAATTTGATGCTTCGAAGTGGATTTTTCTAATTACAAAAATAAAAATATGAATTAGTCATGTTTTTAGACCCATAATTCAATATTGAATATTAATCATATATATTAGACATTATACATTGAAAACTTCAGATCGAAATTGAAGTAATAACTCCGACTCAAACTACGAATTCAACCCTTCCTTTTTTAACGCTTATTCTTATTAAACACCTCTTCACCATATCGCCATTTTCGGCAAATGATTTTCCTTGAAGAAAAAAAAAAGAAAAGAAAAACTCACCCCAAGGTGTTGATATGGCCTACTGCTTATGCGTAGGTCATCAGGTACAACTACGGATTCATATGTGCCCCAGACTTGCCGAGCCAGATTAAGTCGCCGATAGTCAATGACAGCAGCGATGAAAAATAGAAATTTCTACAGAGGTTCTTTCTTTTCTTTTTTTTTTTTTTTTTTTTTTAAGAATCGCAAATGTTTGAAGTTGATAATGATTGAAGTAAGACATCTTTCTTTCTTTTTCTTTCTTTCTTTCCTTCTTTCTTTCTTTCTTATTTCAAGAGAATATTTTTTCCTTTCTTTTTTCTTTACTTTACCTTTTCTTTCTTTTTTATTCGAAGATACCGTTTTCTTTCTTTATTTATTTCTTTCTTATTTCAAGAGACTATTTTTCTTTCCTTTCTTTCTTTTTCTTTCTTTTTTATTCGAACAGAAATTTCCTTTCTTTCTTTCTTTCTTTCTTTCTTTCTTATTCCAAGAGAATATTTTTTCTTTCTTCTTTTCATTTTTTTTCTTTTACTTTCTTTTTTATTCCTTTTTTATTTGCAGCGACGATTTGTCTTTCTTTCAAAAAAGAATCGTAAAGAAGCTATTTATTATTATTCTATTTTTATTTTTAACACATACACACACACATGCACACACAGGCACACACGCACACACACACACGCAATTGCCGATTCACTTCTAAAAAAAAATGTTTGGTCATTTGGTAACATTTGCCAGACATCAGTATGTTTTTTTCTTCCTTTCTCGATGGGGCCTCGAAATATCAGTACAACTACTCATGTATGTTTTCTTTTTCTCTGTCCTTCTTTCTTTCTTTCTTTCTTTCTCTTTTTTTCTCAACACTCTTTGTTTCTTATTTTCTATTTCACCTTTTCGGTCATATTTTTCTTTTTTATAATAGTTTCCGTTCTTTCTTTTTTATGTGTACTTGATTAATTCGTTCTTTCTCACGTCGTCTTTGTTCTTTTCTTTTTTTACGTCTCCTTTCTCTGTCTTTCTTTCTTTCTTTCTATTTCCTTAAATCTCGATAATTCTTCTTCCTTTCTTTCATTTTGTTCTTTCTTTTTCAGAAATCCCCGTCGCATTTCTTCATGTGTTGTTCCTTTTCTCTTTTATCCCCTTCTTCCTTCTTTTTCTCTTTCTTTTTTTCTCTTTTTTCTTTCTATCTTTGTTTATTTCTTTTCTTTTTTTATTTATTTCGTTTATTCTTTCTTTTTTTTTCTCTTTCTTTTCGGTCACTTTTTTCTTTCTTTCTTTTCTTTTCCATTTCATTTCTTTATTTATTTCTTCCTTTCTGTCTTTCTTTCTTAATGTTGTACAATTTCGTTCGATTTTTCCCCACAGCTCGGACTCAAACTGAATTGAGTGGATAAATAAGGTGTTCAAGTATTTTAAAAAGAAATTCTATTGTACATTGAAATAGGGTAAAAAAAAAAATTGAATTTGAACGTAGAATTAGTGATATGGTAAAAAAATATATCATGTAGTTTGGTGAAAGCCCTCACCTTATCTTTCAGGATTTATGTGAACCAACTATAAGGAAATCCAATTCAAGACTTATAAAAAGAACGGATATAACCCCCTCTTTCTCTTTTGCTCTGGAATGTTGTAGTGAAAACAGCAAAGTTTCTCTCCGCCGAGGGAGATTTCATCCCCGGCAGCCGTCCTTCTTAATTTCAGCCAGCCACGTGGATCAACGTAAAACACGCTTATTTTCTAATAGCAAAGCCTATAAATGCTTTTCTTCCTTTTTCGGCAATCTGTGTCTCATAAGCTGTGTAGAATAATTCGCCCTGGTCAAGTGTAATTGGCAGAAATGCCCAACAAATAAAATTCACAAAGTTTGCAATAAACAATAATATGAGAAAGAAAAGAGAAGAACGTGACCAAAAATAATATTAAGCAAACAATATATGCTAGGCAAAGCAACTGTAAATAAGGCAAAAGGTTGCCAAAGTAAGAACGGTGTTAACACACAAAAGGGGATACAGACAAGCGATCGCAGATTTCTGGCTTCGTGACACGATAGAACAGGATTTAATCCGATGAGACCAAGAAATAGCCTATCATATTGGCTAGGAAGAAATCCCAACATGCATCTGTGTGTTTTTTCTTATAAATTTGCGAAGACATTTCCAGTATGGATTGGAACTAATTGATTCGAACTTTATAAAATGGTAAATAATAAAGATTTCATTAAAGTTGGTTCACATTTAGTAAATGTTTATAAATTTATGAATAAAAATTGTTTTCATGTTTATTTCTTTATAAATTGGTAAATGATAAATATTGCATTGCATTAGTTTTAATTGTATTTATTTTTAGAATTGTTGTAAATAGAAAATTATTTTTGTAAATAAAGACTCTGATAAATAAATAGCGTTTAATATTTTTGTTGTGAATTCTCAAGAGCAAAAATATATAAATCCACTTTCATCATATGTTTAGGTTTATTCAAATCCTAATCATCGATTTTTAAAACAATAAACATTGCCAAATAGTGAAGGTAGTTAAAAAAAAAAGAAAAGAAAAGAAAAGCGGTGTCATGAGAAAAACCGTCCCTTTTTACAATACAACCTTATTGCGGACACGTTTGTCCATGTTTGACTCTTATTCAGTATTAAATTGAAAATGAATTTAGTTATTTACAATAATTTATGTGAAAAGGAGGGTGTAAAGGATTTATCAAAATATATTCTCCTGATTGATCAACAAAATATAAGCCAGGCAGATGAAATGTTCATGAGAAAATGTGGGCTTCCATTAGTTAATGAAATTCACGAGGTGTTGTTAATGTCCTGACCATCCCAGGGTCGATAGGTCAACTTAGTAGCGGAACTGTTTGTTGTTGATTGAGGAGTGTCGAATGGAAGTCGTTGTGGTAAATTTGTTAAAACTGGTACAGCTTTGTAAAATGATGGTAACAGATAGCGATTTCTCTGGCATCATTGAGGAAAAATTGATGTCTTTGATGTGGGATATATTACATTCACTTGGACACCTCAGCGTGGTGTAATGGTTAACAAGCTTGTCTCGCTAGAACAGTTACGACTTAATAGTGAGTTCCATCCTCACTGGGTGTCCCATAGTTTCTGCTTTGTGTCACATCTAAACTACGCTTAGAAAATCAATATATTACATTCACTTGCGTACTTTTGGGAAAGGTATGAATTCTCTTCGTCTTCCCGCAGTTATGAGTAAATAGCAGGACAGATTAGGTTCTATAACCTTGTGCGGCAACCGGTCTAGAAGAAGGAAAAACTCTGAATTGAACTGGGCTCCGTCTGGCTATCTTGCCAAAGAAACACCGCTTCTACTGCGGCTGCAGTACGGGTCAGGGGATAAAAAAATCTGCCGATTATCAGGTTATTTCCCTGTGATATTGACTATTATTTGTTCTTACGGAATCGGTGCTTCCCTCTCTGATCCAGGGATTGAACACACGACCACTAAATAAGAATCAGTCAGATAAGTGCCATACGCGATATACATTTGAGTGATCATGTCTCTTTTCGATTCATGACTGACTAAACAGACGATTTTATCGCAATAGATCGCAGTTTCTTTCTGCGGTAGACTGGTTGCCAACCAAGGCTATAGCTATCTGTCCAACTGTTCTGTCCTACTATTCAAAACATAGCTGGCTGGAGGGGGATTATTATTGTCCCGAGGGGGTATTTGCGCGTAAATGGATACAATGAACCGGACTAGAATTCGAACTCGGCACTCCTATTTTTCATTCCGAGCCATTATCCATTACACCACACCACACCACACCACACCACACAAGTAGCAAATTTAAAATCAATTCCTATATCCCCTACGTCGCAGCCCCCAAGGACATTAGTGTTCTGTTTTTTGGAGTCTTTGATATTCAATGTTTTTGACATTTGGTTATAATGATAGGTCCATACATTTTTTTTAATCAATTCACGCCAAGCAAGGTAATAATGTCACTAAGATGCAAGGGAGCTACTGAAAGTGAAAGAGAATAAAAAAACAAACATTCGAATGAACCTGAAACCCAATCCCTATATTCTGATATTTCCTTTTCTCGCAATTCTTGCCTGTGAAACTCTCTTCCGGTTTCTTGCTTCCCTGACACTTTCTATCCCCCCCCCAAATAAATGCCAAGTCTTCTGCTACCTTCTTGCATTGAATATTGCTGCCATATCTGGTCTTATGTTCCTGCCGTATATCCTTAGAGTCTTGATAAAATCCAAACCAGGTTCTGCCTTTCGGAAACAAGTCCAACGACGCGGCGGTGGGTGACAGGCGCCCGTCCACGCCGACGACGGGTAACAGGCGCCCGTTCACGCCCGACGGCGTGTAACAGGCACCCGTCCCTGCCGACGACAGGTAACAGGCGCCTGTTCACGCCGGCGGCAGGTCATCGTCACGAGTTCGAACTTTCAGACTTTTGCTCGGTTCGCGTAATACGGGCAATATAGATTACAAATTGATAGTAATGACTGTCAATTTTAATCTATACTAGCAGCATGGCCCGGCGTTGTCCGTGCTTGATTCAAAAATCGTACGACTCATAGAGCAATCGCTATCACTTGACTTAAAATATTTCTGCCCTTCCTTGCCTTTAAAGGAGTGCCCTTTGCCGTGCTGATGTTGCTACATGCCTTACTTCTTGCCTATCACACACTGCGAATTTTTTCTAAGCTCTATACTAAACATTAAATCTGTTACGAAAAAGAACTAAACAAAATGAACACAAAACGATCAGCTTTAAAAAAGGACTCGTAACTGGAAAAACCGAATGAAAAAGAATGTTAACAACAAATACTTTTTTTCACACCCAACCCAGTTCTGCGGAATCAGAATCAACGTTGAGTTTAAGCAAGCGAATGAGCCTATTGGAGTAAAGTGCCAATGCAGATTTAAATTTTTCCCACTTGTGACGAATGCAGCTATCAATTTTTTTTTTTTGCATGCTAACATGCTAGTTAACATTCGTGTCAGTCAGATGTTGGCTCTCACGCTGGCCAATAGAATCTTCCTGGCTATTCGTGGCAGTCAGCTATAGGCTCTCACTCTGGCCAGTAGAAAATGGCCGCAAACTACATGAAAACTGTCGTAGAAGCATGGAAAAATCGATTATTTCCACTGTCGATGGGAGTTAGGAAATGCAAAGTCAGTTTTGGCCTTCCCGCCAACTTGGAGCATGTACATGTAAATTTTGGTGCAAATCCGTCGAAAATTGCGGCCGTGCATTCGTTACACACACACACACACACACACACACACACACACACACACACACACACACACACATCCTGCCTTTTATAGATAGAGATTACTCTTTATCAGATTATATTAAGAAAATTCAATTAAAAAAACGCTAATAGTCAAGATATGTTAATAATTAAATAAATATTTGGTTTAACTCATATTTAAACAAGAATTCTTTATAGAGACAATCATTGAATATTGCTGTTACATCTGGTTTGGCGCTTCTGGTAAATATTAAGAGATTTTTTATAAAATCCATAGAAAAATCTGCTGTGTTATCTGTCCTGAACTGGCATCTCGGCTTCAGTCAATTTTCCACTCGGCTTCCCTATGTCATTTTTTTTATAAATATTTTTACGAAAATTGTTCTAATCAGCTCTGTTCATTGGTACCTTGACTTCATGAATTTAAGTGTGCTACTAGATTGGCAACTAGGTCTCATTATTTTATCGGGGAAATAAAGAGATAGAAACGTAAGTTAAGTGAAAGAGAATAAAAACGACTTTAGAAGGAAACAGAAATGCAATCCTAACCAGGAAACTAGAAATAAACCTCTACTCTTATTCAAAAGACCGGGGATGAGTCTGAACTGGACGATAGGTGAAACAGTTTACTATAGATGGACCAGTCTACTCCTTGCTGTTTTTAATAAGTTCGTATTTCATTTCAGTGATAAGTAATTGTCAGTGAATTTATATTATTTGAACTATTCTCATCTTGGTCGATATAGATATTAATACAGACATAATATTTCGACCAAGTGTTCATCATCTATATGCTTTGTCCTACTATAATAACAGAATATCTCATTGGTAAATAAGGGGGATCGAGTTGCTAATAAATTGCTTTTTATTTAGTTTATTAATGCTAGCGTTTTTTGTTTTTTGTCTGTATCACTGAGATGAGGTATTATGATTATTTACATTATTCGGACTGTTATCCTCATCTTCATTGCCATATTCACAACGTTTCGGCCGTTGTACGCTCTGGCCTTCTTCAGGTGATTGGAATTTCGGACCAAACCCTTTATTTCGTCCACCAAGGTAGATTGTTCTAGTTCCACATGCCATGCCTCTTCCGGGTGTCTCGGTTATTTCCCTTTAAATCAACTCTCCAAGTGATGAGCCAAAAAATTTGCAGTGTTGAATTAAAGGGAAATAACTAAGACATCCGGAAGAGGCATGGCATGTGGAACTAGAAGAATCTACCCCGGTAGACGACATAAAAGGTTCGTTTTTTTTGTTTTTTTGTTGTTGTTGTTTTTTGGGGGTTTTTTTTTTAAATTTTACTTATAGTGATTTAAACATAACTCTTTCTTACAAGTGGCAATTTAGTTTTTAGACAAAAAATCCTAGATTATTCATGCAATAAAATATAACCATTACAACTGCAAATTTAAATAAATATATTCGCCATTTTTAAAATTATGGCTTATTTTAACTTTTGTGATGTCAACGAACATTGTTGTCACTTTCGTAATGCTCATTGTAGTAGAGTCTTTGTAATCGCAGATACAACTATAATAACGCCGTTGAACATTACTGGTGTCAGACGCCTTCAAATATCACTCACACTAATAGTACTTGCTCGATAATACTCGCTCGAATTGTAACCACCGAATACTGATCCGAATAGTAATCAGTATAGAGAAATAGTGAATAGTATAGAGATAGAGGATAGTGTAAAAAGAGTGATGCGTATAGTAATAGAGGATAGAATAGAAATGATGATTTATTAGACGTCACGATACTTCCTATTTATGGGTTTTCTTTACCATCACGTGATCTACTTATTCAAAATGGAACCACCTGTTTTGCTCGCTGCCGATAGGTGTTCAAACTCAAGTGTCGGCAACGACATTTTATTCCTAGATAACATTAACTTTCTCTGAATATGGTTTACTTTAAAAGATTACTTTAATGATTTAAACAGCGAAATTGTTTATTACATAAAACAATCTTATGTTAAATGATTTAAATCATAATTCCTTGTTACATGTAATTGTGGATTTAAGTTTGTATATAGAAACTGAATCCATTGCTAGGTCAGCTGCTAAGAAAGTTGCTTCATTGTGCCGTGCGAGGCTATTTCTCTTCAGAATCTATCATACATATCTATAAGTCTACCATTCGTCCATGCTTAGAATATTGACACACACCAATAGGAGGCATTATCCGCTTGGATAAGTCTTTCCAAGATGACATCAGGCTGCTACTCTAACCAATTGGGAAACGGCAACCCACATCTTAAAGAACACAATCCGTTGAGAAGTGGAAAACTTCTCGTCCTCACAAAGTTCATTCTGTCGCGTCGTCTAAATCACAGCTATAATGATGTCAGATGAGCACAAGAAATGACAATGATCATTCTTGTTCAGCTGCGCCATAACATTGCTACAAACGGAACCAGCCTTGAAGATAAAAAAAAAAAACTTTCCGCTAAGCATGCAAATCATGTAGACTTCAATAAGCTTGCACATTGGGCGTACAACATTCAGTCAGTTATGTGCCATGCGTGATACACGCTTAGGCGATCATGTATCTTTCGATACATGACTGACGAGGCCGATGTTTTTCTCAATGTAGGTTACCATTTCTTTCTGCAGTAGATCAGCTGACATTCAAGGCTATAGAACCCAGTCTGTTCTGCTATTTACCCATAGTTTGGAAAGAAGAAGAGGATTCATACCTTTCCCAAGGGTATTAGCACATAAATAAATGTAATGGATTCGACTGGAATTCGAACTCGGCTCTCCGATTCCTCAATCCTAGCCGCTATCCATTACTCCACCGTGACCACAGGACTTCCCCCATTCACCTCAGCACACGCATTCTGACGTCCCCACCCCGGGTCTCTAATCTTGGTCCTACTTTATTTTTAATTTTCATTAATAACCTTCTCGATGACATCAGTTCTCACTCGATAGTAAATATTATCATTTTGATATGGACAAATTGGCGGCTGAGGGCAATAACAACATCCAGTCTGTTGTTAACTGGTGCAAAGGATGCCTTGTTAATTTTAACGCCTCCCAAACTAAACTGATCTCTATTAATCATCTAAGAGACTTCTTACTGCCTCCTATCATCATGACTGATGCTAACCTCCAGGAGATTGACGCATTGCGCCTTCTCGGCCGACATCAAGTAGAAAAACTTGCTAGATAAGCTGCTAAGAAAGTTGGTTCACTGTGTTGTGCAAGACAATATTTCTGTCAGAATCTATCATACATACCTATAAGTCTACCATTCGCTCATGCTTAGAATATTGCTGCCAAATATGATCCGGTGCTCCGGTTTACCTTGAGCACCTTGATAAATTCCAAAGAAGAATTTGCAAGATTATTGGTCCTGACCTGGCACCTCGGCTTCAGTAGCTTTCCCGCAGCCGTAAAACTGTCTCTCTGTGTCTTTTCTATAAATGCTGTTGTAACCCATGGATGATTACTGAATAGAATAATCAAGGTTGCTAATGAACGATAATACTTAGGACACGAACAACGCATATAAGATTTGCCAGCGGCGCGTAGAATAAGTAGTCAACTGCTAGAAGTGAGTCAAGTGAATTCCACAATGAACTCCTGTTTATCTACCAACCACCCCACGTTGTCAGATGTGGCACAGGGCCGAATTTAATGTGGTATATCCGAGCCCATTGGCTCGACCGAAAATTCCCTGTAGACCCCGTATAAAACGGGATCGGGTAGCTTTTTCCCGAGACGAGACACTGCCGTTCGACAAAGCCTCGTCTGGGGATCTTCTCTGCTCCAACTGCAGACCAACATACAGCATTTACTACTGTATTTATGTGAAAGGGGACATACCCATTATCGTCCGAAGGTATGCTAAAACAAATACTTTCATGGTAATTGTTCGAATGAGTTCTTCGCCATGGTACTTCGCCTTTTTTAAATTTAAACGCGTACTAGACTGTCGTCGAGATCTCATCAATTTACAGTAAAGCTGGCGAGATGGAACCGTAATTTCTATGCTAGCAGTTTCTTTTCTTGCACTTCTCGCTTGGGGAACTCGCTTCAGACTCCATGCTTCCCAGCCAACTTTAATCTTCAAAAATTTAAATGCAATGTCAATCGCTATCTACTATCCTCTTGATTAGTCTTTCCTCTTCTTGCTCATTATTAATGTTTCTGTTCCTAATTCCTTCACATCCAGTAACCCCTTGTGTTTTA